TTAGGCTCAAGATTACAGCCTTCGTATGCCGCAAGGGGATTCACTTCATCTATCTGACGAGAGAACAGGCCCAAACGCCGCGCAACACTTTCCTGGTAAAGGCAAATGACACACATTTGTATATTGCAATAACATTAGTAATCATGTAAGATTGTTACCATGACTTTGCTTCATAACAAAAAAATATCATATAAATAAATATATATATATATATATATATATATATATATATATATATATATATATATATATATATATATATATATATATATATAGATATATATATATATATATATATATATATATATTTTATGCTGTTATCTTTAATGCTATAATTGTTTGCAAAGCTGAATACAAACTTATTCATGGAACAATAATGAGTAAAAAAAAAATTATAAATAGAATCAAGTCGCCAAATATTAATCTCTGATTAAGAAGAGTAAGAAACACTTTTAGCAAGGACTTGAGTGAAAACCACATCCTCACCTGCCAAGCTGTTATCATCTCCTGCATAAAAGGTAGTGTCATGTCATGGCGAGCTGAAAGTATCCACTGCCAGCAAGCCACGCTGTTTTCCATGGCATCTTCTGTGAACATGTCTAGACACGCAGAGCAAATGTGACGAAGTAGCCTGCGGTTGATGCCTGAAAAAAATTTAAAGATATATAAAGAAAATTAGATTAAATTGTAAAATTGGAATGAAATTTATAACATACATATCTAAATACTGGTAACATTTATTTGAAGACTTGAGTATTGCCACAAAAGTCTTTTAAAGAGCAGCACATGACAGATTAACATTACTCTGTCTTGTCAATACAAATTTGTACATAACATCATATCCACACTTTCACAATATTTTGACAAGAGATTAACATCAAAGCTATAACAGCCATACACATCACTTTGTTTCATCCTCCAAAGATATCTAAAATCTTTACCTTCTGAGAAAATCATGAGCCCAGTTGCCCTCCAGAGTCCCTGTCTGAAGTCCACCTCCTTCTTCTTCTCACAAGCCACCTTTATGTCACCAAGGAGCTTGGCGATCAGCTGTTCTCGTTGACTCTCGTCTCTCACCATCAGAAGCAACCCTGATATCTCACCCTGATAGTGTGTTCTCAGGCTTAATGACTTCATGAAGGAGGAGGTGAGGTCTGTCGCACCTTTGTTGCGCTTGTCCATGGTTGCAGTCTGAGTAAACGAAAATCAAAGTATATCACTTTCTAATGATAAAATCAAGCCTGACTTCTTCCCCTCTTCTCTCCTTCATCTACCTATCACATAAACTTTTCATTACAGACACAAGGTTAGCACTTTCTGTTCTATCTATTAAAACAAGTTGACCCTCAATATACAAATAATCATAGCACTGAGCATGATCAACAACAATATCAATAAATGCCGTTAGGGTCCTTCATCAAGAATCAGGATCAGCTTTAAAGATTGCATCAGGATTAGCTTTAGATATTGCATCAGATTCAGCTTAAGGAATGCAGTGAACACACAACTCTTCACTCAGAAAACCATCCAATGCTATAAAATCTCAAAGGCTTACATGGCTCATGTGTGTAGGTGTCCCAAGACCTGCATACTGCATGACTGACTGAGTAGCCAGGGCCAAGCCAGAGTGTGACGTTAGATTGGATTGGTCGATGTGTGTCTGGTAATTCTGCAGGTGGGACCGAGTTGCCTCTGGAGCCCATTTCATTGCCTCTTGAAGGATACCTTGGCAACGTGCAGCAAAGTCGCTAACGGTTCTCTGAAAAGTTAAATGGAAAAGTCAGCTAACTGTAGTATCCTACATGGATCCTCAAATCAATTGATTTTTCAAAAAGTTGTATCTGAATAGTAGAGAAATATATCCATCACTCTTGAAAATAGTGCCTTACCTCCCTATACTCAAGAGTATCCATAAGCGTGATGCTAAAAGGTGTATCAGGAATAGGAATAGTTGGGTTGGCATCATTAGGGTCTAGCTGTAGAGAGTAGCCCAGGACCTGCAGAATGTCTAGGAGGGTTCGTAGCACATTGCCATTCCACAGGAGCTGTGGGAACCTATAAGAAAATGAGTGGTAAGTTTCTTTCCAAAAAAAAAAATAATAAAAGGAGGAGTATCAGATAAACAATAACTATGATATTGAGATAAAGTAACACAAGCACAAGTTTATACATTCATCAAATGAATCATCGGCTGAAGATAATGCCTGAAAAGAAAACATTCACACATTGAGCTTGTGGAAACAACAAGACATAATACCTACTTGTCAACAAGTTTTGACAGCAGCTTGTCAGCCACACGCCTGATCTGTGCCTGGGTGTGGTTGAAGTGTGTCAGAAGAAACTGCGCATGAAGCACCAGGAGCTTTTCTTGCCTTTCATCTCGAGGCTGGTGACTCACTTGCTCAAGGAATATGTTGAATACTTTCTCACTCACTCTGAAAACATATTAGTTGTTCTACTGAGTTTTTAAACCAACATAATCTTTCCTTACATCATACTCTTTTCTTGCAATCTATTAGCTAAAAACAAGCCACATTTAATGACAAAATCATTCTAATCAATATTAGGAAATCCACTGGCCTAAGACAAACAATTCCTTTAAAAAACTAATAAAAACAATGGTTAATTTCCAAAAGAAACATTCTCCCACCTGTTGATGCAAGTCCACATATCACATTTGTCGTTCTGGATGGCTGGGTCCAGCAGGTACTCGAACATTGGCATAAAACTTGTCTCTGCAGAGCTCCTTACTCTGCAACAAAGATATAATGGAATAATAGTAAGTAAGTACTTTTACAATCAAGTTTAGATATCAATAATTGCCAGACCTTTTAGTCATGATCATGTTATTAAAACTTCAACAATACAGTACACCTAAATTATTTTTAAAATTTATCAACATCAACAGACATAAATTTCAATGTAAACTGACCTGAGTGCTTCTACTCGATATACAGACAGCACATAAATGCACTGAGCGAAAGATAACTTGTTGACCACCGGGGTGACGTCTGTAGGATGCTCAAGGAGACTGAGAATTTGTTGTCGTAGTTCACCCAATTCTCCCTGGAGGATTGAGGACATTTTTGTTTTTCTTTTTTTCTCAAATAAAAAATTCATTGGAGACTAAATCAATCATACCTATGTGGTGTATGAGACTAAAGCATTCTAATACCAATAAATCTATGCAAATAATAGATTAACACCAAAAGCAATCAAACCAATGGTCAGTTTAGGGATATAATATAACAGTCAAGACATACTTAACACCTGAAAATTTCCCTCTTGGCAACTCACCACTGACACCGACTCATCACGAACTGCATAAGTATAATAGAGCTCCTTCATTTCAGAGCGGTGCTGGGTTCGGGAGAGTAACTGAGGAGAGGTGACAGCAATATCGCACACAGCCATGTACCATTCAGCAGGCCATAACCCTGTAACAAGCAGCAAGTTTTTTGTGTTTTTTTTTCCATTTTAATCAAACAAACTTAATTACATGTTTGGAGACTAAGTCCTTTAAACACATCAGAATCAAGAAAAGTAAGCTAAATATCTTTAACGAACAACAAATAATAATTGAGCAAAGTTCCGTCTAAGACCCACCTGATTCCTGCTGAGTGAAGCCCATCACAATGCAGAAAAGCCAGAAGTCTCGGAATAGCTTAAGCAGGCGAGGTTTCGGTTCCTTGATTGGTGGAAGACGGCGAACCAACACGGCAATCACAGGGATGAGCACACCAAGATTTCCTGCACTGCTTGATGCCTGTGGGATTAGATCAGTGTTTAGAAATAATTAAATCTTTAGTACCCACAAATACAAGAATATTTAGTACTGAGAATTACTAGATTATGTAGTACTTGGATATACTAGGATACTTAATTAATATTAGGATAATTAACACTTTGAAGGTCTAGGATAAAGGAGCAGGAAGGGGAAAAAGCAAGAACCAGGTACCAAAAAAATTGTGAAATGTACTTTATTTTTTATTTTTATTTTTTTTACATGGGTTCACTGATAATATTCACTACTAAAAAGACAAAAAGGGAGAGACAGAGAGGAAAAAGATGAAAAAGGCCCCTTACAAATACAGACATAAAAATATTTCTAGAAAAAAGAAAAAAAAGAAAGAAAGAAAAAAAAAAAAAAGACTCTTATCAAACAACATATAATACCTTCAAGACTGCAGGATGTTTTTCTGAGTTTTGTTTAGCTGCCAAACCCAGCTTCACAAACAGTTCCAGAAGTCGCATTACTAGCTTGTCCATTTCAGCTTCACCTTGAATATTTGCTGCAATATTTGCTAGAGCATTGTGAACTGCAGTAGCGACATGCCTGTAAAGTAATTTCAGATCAGCCTCCAAAAAAATCTCAATATGATTACATTAGTAGGCTTAAAAAAAGAAACAACAAACAAAATCTATTATATACTGTTTGGCTAAAACAAGAAAGAAAGAAAAAGAGTAATTCCTTATAACTTATATAAAAAAGATCTGTAAAATTATCTATCTATCTATCTATATCTATATACCTATACCTATATATATAAAATACTATTTTTTAAGAGAATTCCTCACCTATATTGTTTCATGCGCTGGTCTTGGCCTGCACCCACACCGTAGGTCCCACTGCTTGCCTCCAGGATAATCTTACTAAACTGTTCCATAATCTCATCACACACTTTAGGCTGCAAAATAAAGGCTAAATGAGGTCTTTCCATTAAATTTTCTTAAAAAGATCTAAAAGTATAAAATACACTTTATTGTTTCTGATGTGTAGGTAAAACATTGCCACTGAGTTGATGTCCTGTTTTGTGAATTCTGTTTACACACACATGGCTCAGCCACCGAGGAGTCAATTAGTTGACCTGTGTGACCACGCCTGATTTTTTTCTCTTCATGCTATTAATACTGCTATTATCATCATTATCGCAGATATTAAGATCACTATAATGTCATCAACAACACAATTAGGACGAAAAATTTAAAAAGCAGCTTTCTGAAAATAAGAAAAAGGGGTAAACAGGTGAGATAGACAGGTCTAGCACTTGACTCCTTGCAGACTAGTCATTTGTGGAGTTATCTATATGTAAGCAAAATCAATAAACTAAATCCCAATGGAGATGAAATCCTGTCCACAATGGGTTAACCCATTGTCGATGGGCATGCCATGCCATACCCACTGTGAGTTTCCCTTGTTTAATTGTTTTTACACATAGATAGCTACCATTGTATTAAGTCATCAATGAGCCAATTATGAGTATTACCTGTCTTACCCATTTACCCTTTTCTTTAATTTTCGAAAATATTTTACATTATCTTATTTTGCTATTACTAATATTTGTAACATTATAGTAATTATAATGTTTATAATAAAAATAACACCATCGATATTCATAGCACTAGTAAAAATTACATTTTCCCGCCAACTCAAGGAAAGGTGAAATCAGGTAAGGCTAAGCACTAGCAGAGCCATCTATGTATAGACACATTTCTCAAAAAATATAAAAGAATGAACACAGCATTTTCCCCATTTTCTATTAATTTTCCCTGGCAGCAATGGGTTAATAATAACTTAAAAACATAATGGGGACCGAGAGGCTGTTTGTAAGTTGATTTGTTTATATGTCGTAAGTCGGGTCTCCATTACCTTTTTTCCCATTGCTTTAAAGTTTTGTTTACATTAAGAATACCTGTAAATCAATCCCAATAAGTACAACATACCTTATACAGTACCAGACTCTTGAACTATATTTGTGCCCGGGAAATTTGAAGTTTGCTAGCATCTTTCAAACAATTTTTTGGACTTTAGTATCTAAAAAATTTTGTTTGTATGTATGGAATGTTCATAAGTAGAATGTTCTTAAGTAGGGGACTATCTGTATTTGGTAGTTTATACTTACAGATTACTCTACCAAATCCAAACAAACACTGCTGTATATACTCATTATCTTAAAGAAAAGGATGTTTGTTCTCTTCAAATCTTATACCTCAGTATGACTAAATTTTACAAGTTTAAACCTGTGACTTCTAAGTATCTCATATTTAATATAAAACATGCTGATGTATTTCTTGGCACTTAGAATGTGCAAAGAAAAGACAGTGAGAAGGAAGGAGAGAGAGAGAAAGAGGGGGGGAGAGGGAGTGGGAGTGAGAGAGAGAGGGAGAGAATGAGAGAGTGACAGAGTGAGAGAGAGAGAGTAAGAGAGAGAGAGTGAGAGAGTAAGAGAAAGAGAGAGTAAGAGAAAGAGAAAGAGAAAGAGAAAGAGAGTGAGTGAGAATGAGAGAGAGAGAGTGAGAGAAAGAGGGGGGGAAGGAGAGGGAGAAGGAGAGGGAATCACTGATAAAAGAGAGAGAGAGAGAGAGAGAGAGAGAGAGAGAGAGAGAGAGAGAGAGAGAGAGAGAGAGAGAAAGAGAGAGAGAGAGAGAGAGAGAGAGAGAGAGAGAGAGAGAGAGAGAGAGAGAGAGAGAGAGAGAGAGAGAGAGAGAGAGAGAGAGAAATATCCCAAACTTGATCATCTGATACTTCACATTTTCTAACTGACTGCAAGTTCTACTCAATCTTACATCATTCTTGGCCAGAAGCATGCACCCCAGCTGATCAACAATGAGAGTGTCAAGGATAGACGGTGGTCGGCAGAAGCGCTGTAGGAGGCACTGGTGCAAAATGGTCTCTGTGGTGCGTGGTGAGTCCTTCAGTGCCACTGCCACATGTCCCAGTGCTACTACCACAGTATGAGAGATCACAATGTTGTCGCTGAAAGAGGCAGTGAAGTGTTGTTACTCAAATCAAAATATACGTCACTTCATAAAATACAATGTATTTCATAAATTCAAGCAAATGCTCAATACACCGTTTCATTTCCTCTCCCTGCAATACCTTTCAGGAAGACGGTCATGTCCAGCCTTTTCCCTTCCGGATATGGAAGATATGAAGGCCAGAACTGTGTTAGGGTCCACTGTTAAGCCTGCCTTCAGAGCCACACACAGGTTCTCAATGGCAGCATCTCTCAGCCTCTCAAGGGCTGTGGCTGTGGCTGAGACTGGTCTGTTTGCCCCGTCTCCAGTTACTGAAAATTTTGTGTTGTTTGTAATTTTATACATTTTATTCATTTACTGATGAAACGGCTCTTGCTTTTTTCTCAACTCAGTCACCAAATGTAAAGAAAAAAAGAAGCACCCTAACAGTGGTATAAATCAAAGGGTTTAGAATACAAGTAACAATTTAAACTCCTGAACAGTAGCTAAAAACATCATCATATGCTCTAGAGTGATATCTTTAATCAATAATATAAGAAACTAAACAGTAAAGATGTAAATAATAATATACCTTTGACAGTCAAATTGCCTTGCTGGGGTGTTAAGAAATCTGACTGTTGACGGTGTAGCTTGAGAAGAATCGGCGATGGACTGACAAGGAAGTCCTGCAGGTAATTTATGCTGGTCCCGGCAATATTTGGAAACTTGTTCGCTAGCTTTCCCAAACCCTGAAAGAAGAAGGTAAATTATAAGTGTCAAACGTGCCTAATCGCACAATAAAATCAAACTAAAAAAACCTGATGTTCGCTAGCTTTCCCAAACCCTAAAAGAAGAAGGTAAATTATAAGTGTCAAACGTGCCTAATCGCACAATAAAATCAAACTAAAAAAACCTGATGTTCGCTAGCTTTCCCAAACCCTAAAAGAAGAAGGTAAATTATAAGTGTCAAACGTGCCTAATCGCACAATAAAATGAAACTAAAAAAAAACCTGATGTTCGCTAGCTTTCCCAAACCCTAAAAGAAGAAGGTAAATTATAAGTGTCAAACGTGCCTAATCGCACCATAAAATGAAACTCAAATTCCTGACAACTAGGCTACTCTTTCCCTATGCTCTATTATCTGGACTGACTGAAGATAATGAGTGAAGTTAGTGACAAAGGCTGAAGGCAGGGACATACCGTGTCACTAATTCTAGCTTTTGCTGTGGATGAGGAAATTAAAAGTTGAGAGAAAGGCACCTCAGAGAGAGATGAGAGAAAGGTACTTCAGTACTTCATGGTCTTTATCCTTACAATAAAGTTCCACAGGTATTTACATTTTATTCATTTACTGATGAAACGGCTCTTGCTTTTTTCTCAACTCAGTCACCAAATGTAAAGAAAAAAAGAAGAAAAAAAAAATCTATCATTCTGTCTCAATAACAATATTACATCATAAAGAACATTTACCTAATATACAAACCAAACACAATGCAAAATAAACCTACACAGCACACAACATATCCCACTATCTCTATCTTAAAAAAAAAAAATAAACAAATAAAATAAAATAAATAAACAAATAAATAAAAATAAAAAAGTCTTTTAGATCTATACCCCTTTCCCTCCAGTCCTTCTGCCTACATACCTCTAAGCAAACCAGGAGAAGTGGCATGTGAGCTAAAACCAGTCGATGGCCATGAGGAAGGTTGAGCTTCTCTGTCAGTCGATTGCAGAGGCTCTCGGCATCTAGGGGAGCGGGAATTCAATTAGAAACCACCAAAAAGCAGGGCATCAGATGGGAGGGGAAAAAAAAAAAAAAAAAATCTATCATTCGGAATGACACTACAAAAAAATCTATCATTCTGTCTCAATAACAATATTACATCATAAAGAACATTTACCTAATATACAAACCAAACACAATGCAAAATAAACCTACATAGCACACAACATATCCCACTATCTCTATCTTAAAAAAAAAAAAAAAAACAGAATAAAATAAAATAAATAAACAAATAAATAAAAATAAAAAAGTCTTTTAGACCTATACCCCTTTCCCTACAGTCCTTCTGCCTACATACCTCTAAGCAAACCAAGAGAAGTGGCATGTGAGCTAAAACCAGTCGATGGCCATGAGGAAGGTTGAGCTTCTCTGTCAGTCGATTGCAGAGGCTCTCGGCATCTAGGGGAGCGGGAATTCAATTAGAAACCACCAAAAAGCAGGGCATCAGATGGGAGGGGAAAAAAATGGAAATTTGAATATAACAAACTGAAAGCCATGTTTGTAAATTCAGGCTTTTTCTCTCTCGCTTGTTCGGGAAAAATGATGAATGCCTCTCAACAGCAAAACATTTCATAGATAGCTTATGCAAATAGTTTAGTACTTGAACACTTATTTTCGAAAATATAAAACAAGAATACTCATTACTCTGAATGAAATCTAACAACATAATGCTCTGACTATCAAAATTGATAATAACAGTACTATATATAAATACAATACTCACAGCAGCACAAGAAATTCTAGCATCAAGCAGTCATCATTCAAAATTTATCAAGTCTGTTTCGCTTTTGTTAGGCATTAAATGGATTCACAAACAATTCTTTATCATGTCCCATAGTTTTAGATCAATGTTATCTTCTGAAAAATAGCTCATCATCATCATCAAAGTATTATGTTTCAGACAATATGGAAAGTCATATGCCCTTTTAAAATGCAAACATAACATTAAAACACATTCACATTCAGTATGCCCAATGAAACTTAAGAGCCAATACCTATATCCTGAATCTTAACTTTCTAGAAGGGATAAAAAAATAGAAAAAAAAGAAGAAAAAAAAAATGTTAAGAAATTACATAAGTCATAGATCAAAATTAAAACAGAGAATCCCTATTTTAATCACCACATTTGAGATCAACCAGAGTTACTTTAACTACTTTAAAATTTCATGGTTTTAACACTCACAGCCACTGAACTGCAAAAACGGTCAGTAAAATAGGGATCCCGTTTAGGAGCAAAAACCTCTTCTACAGAGTTGTCTTTCTAAACCAGTAACAATATATTCTGCTGGCCTCACTACAAGCCAATGAGAATATAAAAGAAATTCTCATAACAATTGAACTGGTCACCATCAGTTCCACAATGTATATTCAAATCACCTGCTTCTTGTACAGAGATAACTTCTGTGGCTGTGTATACTGAGAAAAACCTGAGGAATATGTATGCTTAAAACAATCAGTGATGTGAAAAATAAACATGTAAAATCAGGATTGACAGAAATAAAGAAACTTGTCATATAATCATAACCTAAATATATAAGTTCTGACACCCTAACATCACCAAAAATAGGCACTAACACTGACTAAAATAAAACTTTATATCCCTTTAAAATACCACCTAAAAGAAAAACCCATCTCCTCACAGTTTTTATTTTCATAAGTAAGATCACAAAAAACCTCATGACTAAGAAACAAAGATTTTTCGGCTCAAACGAGTTGCCACAATAAAGTGCTACACCTCATTTGAAAATCCAATCAATACAGTTGTATTAGCTCATTTCCTACTGTGATACCTGCATGATTGCTTAATGTGTTTTCTCTACCAACCATAAACTGTATAATTACCAACAGGTGAAAATATGAAACTATGAAGCATACCTGTGCATCACAGCAATTAAAAAATCTTATTGTATATGATGTATGAAATAAAATCACTTCTCAAAATGTTTTATGCAGATTGATATTTTAAAAAGCTCTTATAAAATACTGCCTGTTTAAACTGAATCTCTGATTTTGCTTGTCATAAGTGCATAATCAAATTAATTCTGTATAATTTTATCAACAAAATGCAAATGCCAGATATGTTAGGCATCTTTAGATTTGAAATTAAAGAACACAGGTGTTAATCTATTAAATGCTGAAAAAAATAATGTCTCAGTCTCATAATCTTCAATTTAATATGACTAACACTTCATATGTAAACTATTTTTGTATAAGAAACTTATATCTTCTGTCATATGAAGACCATGTCTTCTGCTCTATGTAATGGGCATAGAATATATTTGTATGTAGTATGAAAAATTTATACCTTTGGCCATTTTGAAATGTAGTAAAATAACACCTTTTACACCCAATATAAGCACTACATTCCATTATAAAAATATTAAACTTGAATTGGCAAATTTGCAACAAATTTCTTCACTCTGGGAATTCCTTAGGTGAAATTGAACAAAAGATAATAGTAAACTTTTGGTTTCACACCTATATACCATACAATCAGCATAATTTACATGTACATATATCTTTATGCAAATGATATATCAATAACACAAATGATCCTTCTATGGCCTCATTTTATATAGGCTATCCCACTGCAACTGTCATGTCAAGCCTATCTCATGATCCCACTTTAATTCACAATCAACCCCTTGGAACGGGGTGACATGACCATCACATCTTGGAAAATCTGGCTAGAGGAGCAGATGACGTAAACCTGCTGTCATGTATCTGTCTGTAGGCCTGGTGACGTGAACCTATCGTCATGAGCGTATCTGCTGAGGGCCAGGGTGATGGAAAAGACTCGCCACAAGTGCACAAACCTCTTAGGAAGTTTATTAGACTCGTTTGGCGATTTTGCACCATTCCCATCTATGTACGAGTGTGGAATGTAATGTCCATGAGTGGTGACTGGGAGAGTGCCAGCTCCAGGGAGGATGCCATTTCCATGTTTAGAGCCATATTCCTGGCATTGTAACTGGCAACGCAGGTTATATTACAGAAAATTTAATATCACATAAAAAAAAAAAAAAGTGTTACATTGTTTCATTTTTTTTGGTACTAAAGTATAGACTACCTAGAGAGATCATATGGAGTCTGTGCAAAGAGAAAAGTCTATTACCATCTGGATAATGCAAACCAAATGGCAAATATGGACACTGGAAAATGGCCAAAAAGCTCAATACACTTCTTTGTAAAAAGAGTAAAAAACTTTGCAAATAGGAGGTATAGAGTCTTGTCACCGTACACACATGTTCGCGTACACCCAGCCTACAACTGGTAGAGCAGCCACTCATCTATGCCAAATGCTCTGATTTTTGGTGATGTGATAGCCATGATGCAACCAGATCCAATGACTTATTACTATTTGCCTATAATACTGCAAGTAAAATTAGTATTCCCAATAATAAAATACATATATATATATCCATTAATGTGAGAACATCTACGCTAATTGGAGTAGCAAATATTTGTATTTTTTCTATTAGTAAAATTCAAATGCAGTCTTCGGTTATATCATTAGATTTATAATTGTGTCCAAATCATTCAAAAAGTCAAAAGTTAGTCATGTCAAGATGAAAATAACATATGGTCATAAAACCACGTAAATGCAGGGAAACAACTGAGAAATGAGACATTATTTCAAATACATGCCAGCTGTGTATGGAGAATGGATATTTATGTGCATATGAATGTATATACGTGTGTGTGTTTCTGAAAAACATGGAAGCATGTTTATGTCTATGTTCATATTAATATATATGTGCATATATATACATATATATACATTATACATACATATACATATAAATGTACATATATATATATATATATATATATATATATATATATATATATATATATATATATATATATATATATATATATATATATATATATATATATATATATATATATATATATATATATAACATACATAAATCTATATATGAATATATGTATATATACATATACATACATACATACATATATATATATATAATGTATATATTTATATATATATATGTATATATATACATACACACATTTCCACGCAAGTGTAGAAACTTATGGTTGTTAGTATGGCAAGGCGAGGTCCCACACAACACATCCTATATTGACCTGTGTTACCATCAACATCTTGCATCTGGAGATGATTTGTGAAAACTGACAGAAGGAAAGAGAGTTCTGAGCCCTGGTCTGACTCTGAAACATGAATAGGATTCAAGAGAGCACTGCCCACATAGAACACATAGAACACGTAATCAGTATATCTATGACAAGAACTGTTAGAGGAATCACTCACTTATATGGACATTTTTTTTCTTCATTTCAATATCTATACCATAATAAGTAATGACATCACCATAAATATTTTTTTTTTACATAATAACAAAAGTACTATGTCACATCATAACTACTTGACTAACATTCATGAGTTTACTCCATGGCAAATAAGGAAAAAAACAAAAGCATACAAAAATGTTAGAACTACTTTCTTTTTGCCTGATTATATGCAGTTTCAGTAAACAATAAAATATGGACAATGAATAACTGACAATGAATATCTTTTTCCCCCAGATGAATATTGTACTAGTTTATAACTTCATGTTGTTGATAAAATCTTATAAACATCTATCATTCTCTACTTTTCATTCATGTGCATTTATAAACCTTTCTGTGTAAAGTTTAAATTCTAATGTAAACAAAATACACTTATATTACTGTTGCAATGCTCCTAAAAGTTAAAGAAAAATAATAGTACTTTTCAAGAACATTGGCTAAAAACAAAGTCTATAAAACATCTATTTTGGCTTATCACTTTTGCCTTATCTTTATTTGTCTTCACTTGCCCCCCCCCCCACACCATTTCAATATTATACTATATACCCTATAAATTTTACACTGTACAACCCAACTACAATCTCTCCCTGTTAAATGAAAAAACTTACTATAGACCTAACATCCCTGAAAATGCAACAGCACAATGCAATCTAAGAACGCAACAAGACTTACCTGACTCATCAGCAATAGCCCATACCAACAGATCAACACAAGCAGCATTTGCCTGAACATTGATCCTAAAAGTGTTAACAGCTTGAGTCTTCACAGCAGGGTCGTCCTTCTCTCCTGATTCCTGCTGCTGTCCTGCAAGTTCAGTCTGGCCAGACAGGTAGAGGCTCTTCACAAAGTCTTGGACGTCTCTTGTGAATGGCACCGGCAAGTCTTTGGAAAATGAATCAATTATTGTAGCCTAAATACTGGCTATATAGATTATTTCCTGTATGACATGGCTCACTTACACAGTTACACACATTGTGTATAATGGAAAAAGAGAACTAACACTATTTATAGTATGGGACAAGCTTTGGTTTATTGGCGACTTTCCTCCATTGAAGTAGTTGTTGTTAATAATTAGACTGAAAATATAGAGGAAGACTCTCTTTTTTTAACATATACATTACCTTTCTGATAGGCCAGAAGTTCCCTCAGAAGTGTTACCATGACCAAGTTAATAGTCTCTCGCAGAGTCCTATAAGGGAACATCTTGATCTGGCCAGAGCTGAAAACTTCACGTGATACCTCATCAAGTACTGCTAGTACCTCCTTTGCCAAGAGCTTCTTTGCATTGGCTAGAACAGTCTGTAATGCACAAGAGAAAGAATTCATTATAAAGAGGTTCTCATCTTCATCCTTCCAAAGTTTGTTCATAACATTAGTACTCCACTATGAAAATAAAGACTAGATTTGCTACAATCATCAAACATTTCAAATACCTTTCTTTTAAAACCATATAAACAAAAGCACAATTTTTTATAAGACAGATAAAAAAATAATAATAAATAAATAAAATAAAAATAAATAGCTTTTCATCAGAACTTACCTGTAGATGCTGCACTGGGAAAATTAATGTGTGATCATACTGGGCAACCTGAGGCAAGCTTGCCCCAAAGCTGGATCCATATTTCTGAAAGAAGTACACCTTCGGATCGTAGGGAACAGACTGCTGAGACTGCAGCGAAGGACGTTTGTTTGGGGCTCCTCCAGGGACTCGTAAACTGTGGAATCAAGAAAAATGTGAGACTTATAGATCTTTTACCAACATAATTGTATTTCTGAGTAGTCATTTGCCTAAGAATAACAACCATGATGAACAACCACACGTGGTCTACCTTAAAACTGGTCAGGCTTTAAACATTAAGTGTAAAAAATGAACATCATTTTATCCTCAGACACTACTCAAAATACATACAGTATTCTGGCTTAGAAAGAATTTAAATGTAAATCAGTTATTTTGTGTTCAAAAAGTTATATTTTCAAATAGTCACATAAACTTCCACACACAATGGTCTTCTAAGTTTAAAAGCACAAATATTTCAATAATTTATTTATAGGCAAATGCTCTCAAGCCTAAAACTATCCATCAACACTAATCTAACAATTATCCACACAGGGAAAAATACACATGCACAATTTTTATAACGGAAGGTCTTGATTTATTTAAACATGGATCATGCAGAGGATATACATTACTAAGACATTTAGTTTACCAACAGATAAGAGCTGTGTGAATCTTTGCAATTTAAGATTCTTGGGATGAAAAAAAAAAAAAAAAAAAAAAAAAAATCACTTTTACTTTATAGCCATATAATACACAATACAAAAGCAGATTACTCCACTACAGATTCTTCCAAAGACTATCACACCAATGAATAACTAAGTCTTCAAATTCTTCCATTGTGGTCATATACCATTGCTGGAAAGTGTTTACACTGAAAAAAAAAAAAAAAAAAAAAAAAAATCCTTGAGAACTGTTTTCCATCACACCTAAAGAGAATTTCTGACATATTTACGGGGGATCAATACACACAAATTCACTCAAATATTCATTTATCTAGGATACAGTCAGAAACCACTCATACAACATTTACTGCCACATGCAATAGCGGTTCCATGCTAGAGGTGTGGGGGTGCCCACTGTGATGTGCCAAACGGTACTTATACGGTGACGAAATAATCCTTGTAGAGTAAACAGAGGGTCAAATTAAAAATTGCCTCGTTGATATCTGAGACTTTCGGAAATGATAACAAATAGCTAAAACTTACAGTCCCCATCTGTAAGAAGAAGCATCACTGTAGAAAGCTCCCATCTAGGGCTGCTGAGCTCCTTATTTTAGTTTCTCACAAAAAATATTTGGAATGTGCGAGAACCAGTGAAAAATCTGTGAGACCTTCAATTACTTTCAATTTCGGTGATTAACACAAAATCCTACTGAACACTGAGGAAACAATAAATAAAGAGAAAGAAGAAGAAAAAGAAGGCCACCATAAAGGACAATGACCTAAAAGTATTAAAACCTTCAGCATCCTACAGTGTGCTACAAATAATAATAATAATGGTAAACTAAGTAAACAAATAAAACTATGGCCATATTTATGATCAAACCCTATTAGTCATGATTCTCTAATAAATAACCTTAACCTAAAGTTATCAAAATCAGAGATAAATTAGATATACTCTTTCCAATAAACCAAACATTTTAGAAGCTATTTGATCTTACTAAGTAAATGTCAGGACTTGAATCTTTTTCGAGAATGAAACCCATTACATGATCCAAAGTTTTTTTGGATCCCATAAAAACCCCAAAATTGAAAAATGTATCAACTGCATGACCATGCTTTACCTATGCCATTACTGCTGCAACTGATCACTGGCACTTGACAACATTAACTGCAAAGGAGAGGAGGAGCTCGACACCAACTTACCCAATGTCCCGGTCGCTATCTACACTGACGAGTGAAACCACGTCAGGACAGGAGGGCAAGGTGGACGACAATGACCTTGGAATGATGGGACGAAAGTTACTGAAGCTTTTCTTCTTCGCCATCTGTGTAGTTTCCGCGGGCACGGGTGTTGGGATGGTTGAAGCCGGGAAGATGCGTAGAAACAGAGGGTCTCCTGATGTTGATCTGCCTAGGGCACGGGCCAGGCCCAATAAAACTGGTATTGTTCCACGGCATAGGGATACTGAAATTGGGGAAAATTTTGTTAAAATGTTCTTGTGATTATTGCTAGTTCTTTTTAAATGAAACATGGAATCACTGACAAAAATGAGAGAGAGAGAGAGAGAGAGAGAGAGAGAGAGAGAGAGAGAGAGAGAGAGAGAGAGAGAGAGAGAGAGAGAGAGAGAGAGAGAGAGAGAGAGAAAAAGAGAGAGAGAAAAAGAGAGAGAGAAAAAGAGAGAAAAAGATAGAAAAAGAGAGAAAAAGAGAGAAAAAGAGAGAATATTAAAGAGCTTACAATAAAATAAACATAAATAAAATAGCAAATATCAAACCAAAGTAAAAAAAGAGTACATGCTTTCTTTTTTAAATTTCAACACTGAAATACAGTTCCAGTCTGATATCCTAACAAACAGCTTACACACACAAAATAATTTGATAACAAACAGCACTCACTTTTAGCATTGCTTGAGCGTAGCTGGTCATCTCGCACATTCCTAATGATGCCATTTGTCAGGGTTGACAGAACTTCGATTTGTGTATTGATAATCTCATCGCGCACAGTCTCACTCTGAGCGGCAACATCACTCAGAAGTGTTGTGAGCAAGAAGCTGAAACGCTCGGCAACTGGTATGCCTGTAGTGAGGAATAGTAACGTGTGGGGGTTTGAAGAACTTTATTTACTCTAAGTTAGAAAAACCAATATCTGTCATGAAATCCATCATCCATCATTATCAAAGTTATATTAGGTTTTAATCACCATCCTCTTGATCATAATAACATAATCTTGTTATTACCAAGAAAATGTTTTATATTTCAATCACTATCTTATCTATTATATCAACACTTTTCCAAAATATTACTAAAAGGTTTTTCAAATATCATAAATATAATGACTAGACTACTCACATTATTATTTCATAAAAATAATACAATCATTCCTGATGATTTCCTATATTCATTGCCACTATAAATATATTCTCAACATATCGTTTCATCTTTTTCCTTCTTATCAGCTTCCCTACTATCCTTTCTTGTGGTTGTTTTAGCATTCTTTATAAGTTTGAGATGGTCAATGAATACCTATTTATCCCATTCCTTCAAATCTTTGAGAGAAAAGTTGATTTCAATTACTATTATCACTGTTATTAACATCATCATAATATCAACTATTAATTTATTCATTTATCTATAATAAAAAAGTAATAACAACCTGATAATAGTAACTAAAATAAAGAATTCAAGGAATATGTATACAAGTGATGCCAGGTAGGTCTACTAATCAACCCCCTGGCAACTTAGAGTTTGTGAAGCCATATATATGCAAAAAGAATGATATAAGAAAACCCTAGAGGTGACTGCATACACACAGGTACTATTGACCTTCACCATTACAACTACAGTTTAACATTTCCAATGTTTTTATGGGTTTCATATCATTAATAACCCTGTCTTATTAAGCACAATACCTCTATGACTTAAAATATTTACTAACAATCACTTCTCCGCCCCACAATGACCATCCCACTTACGATCCGTCAAGTTAATTTTCTTTTCGTCCAGCCACACAGCCTTCGGGAGAGCTCGAAGCAGTCGGAGAAGGTATTGGAGGATTAAAGCCTCGTGCTGCAGGCCAGACTCAAGAAAATACACTCCTAGTGCAACCACAGCATCTTGTCCTCGTTGGTCCACGCGGTAGACTCCTCCGTGACTTTCCCCTGGACACAGGGATAAGAGCTTCTCAACCTGTGGGAAGTCATTCACTTTACTGAACAATTCTGTTTCTTTCCATCAATCAATCTTGAGAACTAGATTACAGAAAAATAAAAGAATGTTACTTGTTATTATGCATGGCATGATTACGAGTAACCTAATCAAGCATGAATTCCATGTGTACAAAATATTTTGTACATATCTGACTGTGTTCCTGTGGATTACCAGGCACATCAATCAACCTTTATTCAGACAATTTCATAATAATTATGAGATTACTAATCTGATTTTTTTTGCAGAGATCTTACTAAAGGCATATTACAATTAGGTCCTGGATATCATAATAAACATTGAATTATGGCATTTATCTGTACATGACAAATGAGTCTTTCAAAAATGAGTTTCTGTTAAGAATGTGTTGTGGGAGAATTTTTTGGAATAAACCCTCTTCCTCATATAATCTAACTGAACCAGAAGGCAGAGTATGCAGCAAAAGTATAAATAGGAACGAACATCTGTGCTCAATGGATTACAGTCCCCAAGTATTGATCAAGCATTCGGATCAAACTTTGGGGGTTTCTAGCACTATTCATATACGTAGGGGAGGTAGCAACAAAGGATTTAAGAGGTCAAGACTACACATCACTTGGCATATGTAC